CAATTTTTGTGCCCTAGTCTGGTTCGATCATTTCTCTTATTTTGTCGTTGATTAAAGTAACAACTAACCTACATTTGAAACTTGTCAAGCGCCTGCCAACGAAAACATTCATATCACCAGGAAACACAAATGAAACCACATAAAACCCATGCCTTCTGCATTACCCATAACAGAGAACAGTTGAATTTCAGATTACTGTTAAGTAGAAAAATAAATACCAGATACCCATGTAACTTCTGCTGCCAGTGTGTGTGCCCAGGGAGATGGAAAGCAGAGGGCGCCAAGGAAATGAGAAAGCCCAAGGCCAGCACGGCACACAGGTGGACATGTGGCAGATCCAGTGGGCTGCTGGACATGGCTGGAAAGTGAGCAGACCCAGGTGGCTGTCTCAGAGAGGCAGCCTGCCAGGGGAGAAGGAGATAAAGGGGAAAGAGGAGGTGCCGTATGGAGATGTGGTTGTGAAGGGGAAAGGGAAAAGAGGGAATTTCAAAGCAATTTCTTTTGCTACAGAAGCAAAAGAACCTAAGACCAACCAGCCATTATCTATTAAGGAGGCCAAACCAAGGGTAGGGGCAAAGGTGGAAGAAGCCTGTGTGAAAATGACACACCCTGGCAAAGTAGAAAGAGTGCAACTAATAAAATAGCAGGAAAAAAGGAGAGAAAGAAAGAAAGGTGATTGTTGGATATGTAATAGGAGGGAGTCAAAGGACATGGTGGGTGTCTCTGTGTGGGTGTGTGTATATGTGTGTGTGTATTTGAGTCAGGGTCTGGTTTTGTTGCCCAGGTTGTAGTACAGTGGCACAATCATAGCTCACTGCAGTCTTGACCTCCCAGGGCTCAAGCAATCATCCCAACTCAGCCTCCTGAGTAGCTGGGACTCCATGCATGCACCACCACACCTGGCTAATTTTTATTTTATTTTAGTTTTAGTAGAGACAGATATCTCACTATGTTGCCCCGTCTGGTCTCAAACTCCTGGGCTCAGGGGATCCTCCCACCTTGTCCTCCCAAAGTGCTGAGATTATAGGTGTGAGCCTGTAATCACCACACCGGGCCAAAGGACATGATTTTAACAGTAACAAAAGAAGACAAAAAAAGGATAATGACACTATTAAAGAATCTTCAAGAAGTAGACAGGAATGAGGCAGGAGAGGGAGGGACACCCACTCAATATATACCCTTTAATATAGTTTTAACTTTTGGATTCTTGTTAATGTTTTATGTATTCTAAAAAACAAAATGTAATTAAGAAGAGAGGAAATTAAATTTGAATACCATCAGAAACAAATGAACTGAACTGAATTTCAAATGAATAATATAACCACACTAAAAGGGAGGGAGGGGAAAACCCAACTTAATAACTTGGAACACAGTGTTTTTACTTTATACTTTTGTCCTAAAGAAAAACACAAATCTGAACCTTTCCTAGCACTGGTTTGGATAGTGTACCAATTTTGTACGCATGGTAAGATTGAACAAAGGAGTTAAAATAATGCTGAGAGCCTGAGTTCTAACCGTACAAAAAGGAAGATTCTAATATGAAAAGGAGAAGACACTAAAGAATCCTGTGGGGCTTGGGGTGTGGTGGGGGTGTTGAGCCTGTGCATGTAGGAGTGTGGAGAAATCCTTCCACTGAAAGGGACCAGAAGCAATGACTCCTTAGTAGCTACTGATACAGGCTAACACCCAGATCTTAGTTCCCAAATATCATTCCCCAAGTAAGAGGAAGGAGAATTCCTTAGAGAAATGCCTGATTTCAGGGATGAGGCAAGGAAAAAGCAAGATGGTCCTGGAACATCTGTTTTTGCTGAAAAAAGAAAGTATTTAAGAAATGATGGGTACATGTCAAAAGGATACAGACACCAACTTAAAGGGGCTTGCCTCCCAAAGCTGGAGTGATTTGAACATCAAAATTATCAGAATCGATGTTTGCATACTAATAAATGGAAAATCACTTACTTGTGGAAGAATGTCAACTCATAAATGTAGATGGAAAAATGGAGTTAGAAGTCACCATATGCAACCAAGGTAATCAATGATTTGGTTAAAAATCATTGATGGTTGCTAAAATAGGTAGGTGAAAGTTTGATGAGCAATAGGATATTTTCAGAGCCTTAAAATATCTCCCCACAAATTACTTATTAATTGCAAAAGGAAAATCAGTAACTTTATAGTGGGGAAATTTGACAGATGCTACCTTAACCAAGTGATGAAGGTTAACATGTCCAGCAGCAGGTCCCATGGACATCACGTGGCTGTTATGATGCACTGAGAAGGGCCCAGCATCACCTGTGCACTCTTTCCACCAAATATGTATGAGGAAACTCCAGAGAAGCCCAAATTAAGGGATATTCAAAAAAATAACTGGCCTCTACTCAGAAAGGAGAAAAGAAAAAAAAAAGGCAAGGAAGAAGAGGAAATAAGGGGAAAAACAAGGGAAGAAGGAAATAAAAAAGCATAAGAAGAAAAACTATTCCAGGCCGGGTGCAGTGGCTCACGCCTGTAATCCCAGCACTTCGGGGGGCCGAGGCAGGTGGATCACCTGAGGTCAGGAGTTCAAGACCAGCCTGGCCAACATGGTGAAACCCCATCTCTACTAAAAGTACAAAAATTAGTCAGGTGTGGTGGTGGTCGCCTGTAATCCCAGCTACTTGGGAGGCTGAGACAGGAGAATCACTTGAGCCCAAGAGGTGGAGGTCACAGTAAGCCAAGATCGTGCTATTGCACTCCAGCTGGGCAACAAGAGCAATACTCCATCCAAAAAAAAAAGACAAACTATTCAGATAGGATTGTGTATTGGAAAAAATTGCTATCAAGGACGTTATTGGGACAATTGGTGAAATTGGAAGAACTGTAGATCAGATTATGGTACTGTGTAAATTTCTATTTCCTTATTTCCTGAAATTAACAACTATATTGTGATTGTACAAGACAATGACTTTGTTATGAGGAAGTACACATGGAAATATTTAAGGATAAAAGGCATCATGTCTACAAGGTACTTTCTAGGTGCAGAAAAGAAATGGGAAGGAATCAATATAGCAGATGTGGCAAAATGTTAACAATTTGTGAATCTTAGGAAAGGGTTTGTGGGATTCTTTATACTATCCTTTTGTTTTTTGATACATAATATTTTATGTATTTATGGGACATGTGATATTTTGTTATAAGTATAGAATGTATAGTGATTGTGTCAGGGTATTTGAGGCATCCATCAGCTTGAGTATTTATCATTTCTTTTTTCTCTCTCTCTCTCTTTTTTTTTTTTTTCTCTGAGATGGAGTCTCACGCACTCTGCCTTCCAGGCTGGAGTGTAGTGGCATAATCTCCACTCACTGCATCCTCCACCTTCCAGATTCAAGTGATTCTCCCACCTCAGCCTCCCAGGTAGCTGGGATTACAGGTGTGCACCACCATGCCCAGCTAATTTTTGTATTTTTAGTAGAGACGGGGTTTCACCCTGTTGGCCAGGCTGGTCTCGAACCCCTGACCTCTAGTGATCCACCACCCTCTGCTTCCCAAAGTGCTGGGATTACAGAAGTGAGCCACCACGCCCAGCCTATCATTTCTATGTGTTAGTAACAGTTCATGTTCTCTCTTCTAGCTACTTTGAAATATTCAATACATTGTTGTTAACTATAGTCACCCTACCCTGCTGTTAAAAAAATAGAACTTATACCTTTTATTTAACTATATATTTTGTCTAACTGTATATCTGTACCCATTGACCAACCTCTCTTCATCCCCTCTCCCACCTACCCCCCACCCCAGCCTCTGGTATCTATCATTTTATTCTCCATCATTATGACATCCACATTTTTAGCCCCCACATATGAGTGAGAACATGCAATATTTGTCTTTGTGTGCATGGGTTATTTCACTTAACGTGACTTCTAGTTCTGTCCACGTTGCTGCAAATTACATTATTTCATTCTTTTTTTTGGCCAAATAGTGTTTCATTGTGTATACATACCATAATCCATTCATCCATTGGTATAAGTTTGAAATTATTTCCAAATGAAAAGCTTAGAAAAATGGATGGGAAAAAACTATGAAGTTAAAATGTTGATCTGTGTACCACCTAAAAATCATACCATAATTTTGAAAATACTGATTTAGATCACTATACCCCTACTTCCAAATGTCAAGGAGGATTTTAGAGAAGGGGCAGGTAGAGCCAAGATTGCGTGGGGGCTCAGAGCCGGTGGTCATTGTCACAGCCCTAGGAAGGGTTCACTGGCACAGTTGAAGATTGAGACAGGAACCTGCCGTGGCTGCAGTGGAACCAGGTCACCTGAGGTGGAGAGCAGCTTTATACCATCATTTCATGCTCCTTCTAAAACCTAATAAGCTTCCACTGATTGCTTTTCTCCCCCCTTACTATTCCACATGTCACCCTCATAACCGTATTCAAACGCGTACCCACGTGGCTCCAAGGAGGGAGAAAGCAGCACTATTACAAGAGTGTAGGGAAGGGGAGGCTTAAGTATAGTTCAAGTCTTACATTTCTCATTATCTTATGTTCATAAGTCATTGACTAACAATGAAAATAACATATTTAGTTTGCATTTGGAATTATGCTTTCATGACTTTATGTCAGATTCCTTTCTGTGGCCTAAACAAATATTAGGCTGTGAGTCTATGACAGGCCTTAATGAAGTGGATTAAGGCATTTCTCCCATTTACATTTTCATAGAATGAAATAAACATTGTAGTCCTTTTAGGGAACAGTGTCACATCAAGCCGTGATTTGATTTTCTACCTGTTCAGAATATCAAGTTCTGCATTTCTTGAAGTTGTCATGTATTTTAGTGAGCAAGTCGGTAAGACAGAAGTCATCCCTGCAATATTTATAATAGTATGGCGTGAACTTGTCAAAGGTACTTCTAAAAGATTGTTTTAGATCCCGAGGAGATATATTTAGTAACTGTATGGAATAAGTTGTCACATAATACAACACTGCATTGATTTATTTGTGTTATTTTTGTATCTTACTGCAGGCAGAGAATTCAGCATTGGCTTTGGAGAATGAAAATCAAAGGGAACAATATGAGCGATGTCTTGATGAGGTAAGGGGGATGGAGAGACTCCTGATCCAAGGCTGGACTAGTTAGGGTTCCCTTAATCTGATCTCAATACATGTGTGTGCTACCAGTCTCCACAAAACATCACCATTTTCTCCTCCAAAGAAATGTAGTAAACATGTAGCCTTTGAAAAGGAAGGGTGTGTGTATGAGGGGGTGTGTGTGTGTGTGTGTGTCTGTGTGTGTCTGCCTCCCTCCCTCCCTAATTCCTTATACAGGCATCTGTATATTCCTTTTGGTTATTGTTTCGTATTCTTGGGCCACAGTTCACTGTATGATAAATTCTTTCTGTCCAGTAAGTGTGATCCCTTCCAATGAATGAGAAAAACCACGTCGGGGCATGCTGCATCTCCAGTTGGATACCACCATTTCTGAAAAAGCAAATCCTTGATAGAGTGGGTGGGGATGATGTTCACAGTTGGCAGCCAGAGGGAAAAAAATCAGTAGATTCAGAACAAGCCAAGAAGAGAAAGAGAAGTTAGGAAGAAAATTGGAGCAGAATGGAAGAAGACGGGGCTATACGCATGAGTAAACTGGATAAATATTATGTGATGATAATGAAGAGATGATGGCAAAGATGGTGGGCATTTGAGAGTTTCTGGGAGGCGAGGGGAAAATGGGCAGGTGCTCAGAGCCCACGTCCTCCCCCGCTGTCGCCTCACACCATCAGGGCCCACACCCATCACCGATGCATCGTGTCTCTCCCTGCCATGATTGGCCATTCGCGCCCTGACAAGTTCTCAGCTAGGACCTGTCAGTGATTGGAGTTGTTATTTAAATGAGATCACTTCATTAGTCATCTGTCCAGCACCTTAAAACTTTATTGTGTTCTGGGTGATTCAGTTTGAGATTTGTGACAATGTACCTGATGCAGATTTTAGAAAGAAAAGAAAAACTGCATTCCGTCTGGTTCCAGTACCTTTCCAGTGGGAACTGCCAGTCTCTCATCAGTCTTTTTCTCCCTACTATCCATGAGGGAAATCTCTTCTAACTCCTCTTGATATTTCTTACCCTCTCCATCCCCCTCTCCTCCCATGTACTGTCCCATAAGTCAATGGGGGGATCTGTAAGGAACACATGCTCAATTCCCAGCAGTGACGCCATATATAACTCTTGTTCCCTTCAAACTGGAAGCAGTCTGTCTCCTCTTGAGGTCCAGTAGTCCTTGGCGTCTCCCTGCACCAGTGGTTTTTAAAATGTGATCCCTGGACCAGCAGCATCAGCCTCCCCTGGGGCCTCATTAGGAATGCAGATTCTCAGGACCCACGACACACCTACAGAATCAGAGACTCTGGGGCGGGGCTCAGCGATCTATGTGTCAACAAGCTCTCCCCATGATGCTGACGCACTTGACAGCTTGAGACACTGTCATCATCGTATCACTTTGTATCAGTTACTTACACGTAGTTGAAGAACTCTCAAAATGTTCCCAGAAAACTGTTTAATATTAGATATATTATTTAACATTCCCAACCACATACGTTAGTTACTCAAGCAAAATGGTATTTGCAAGTCTCTGTCCTGTCAGGACCTTAAAAGACCAGAATCATCTTGAACACTAAAGTTAGTTGACTCTGACATGGCTCAGAGTCTAGTGAGGCCAGTTCAGCAGCCCTCACTGCTCCCCAGGCTCGTGGTCCAGTCAAAGTTTAGGGCAAGAAAGACCAAAGAGATCCAAGGATATTAAAAGGAACATACAGTACCTTTGGGTCATATATATTGATTAGCAAAGTTTCACTTTAACCTCCTGCACAGAAATTTCTGCCGAGATTTTATCTGCATTTAGAAGTCAGATTTATGTGACTCACACCACGGAAACTTTGTCCCAGTTCTCCCACAGGTCAACCCTCTCCCTCAATCAAAGCACTCACATTTCTTTATGGAAACTCATAGTCTATTTTCTGTGTGTTTCCCAAGCCTGCATTCTGTAGGTTTCATCAGAATGTGTGGGACAAAAATATAAGTTATCCACAAAATCATTTCATATAAAGTTTCCACTGAAGACAGACTTTTTAGAGGGAGTGTTGCTCTGTTCTTAGTTGCAAAAATTAACTGTTGCCAAAGAGGTGATTTGCAGCAAAGAACTGCCTCTAAGCAATACACATGTTTTGTATTCATGAATACTGACCCCTGATTATACATGCAGGTTGTTTTATGACTAATTGCATGAGGGTAGATAATTCATTTCCACACATTGTAAGAGAACACTCTCAACGGGGTAGTTGAATGTAGTAATAATGCCAACTGGAAATTCTTTTCAAGGCTTTTTATACTAATTAAACAAACTAACAAGGTAAGGCCTCATGTAAGTGTTTTCCTTGCTAGTGGGTGTCATCAGACATACACAGGTGGATAAAATGTAAACTTAAGATGTTTTTCAGACAGGCACAGTGGCTTATACCTATAATTCTACGACTTTGGGAGGCTGAGGCAGGAGGATTACTTGAGCCCAGAAGTTTAAGACCAGTCTGGGCAACACAGGGAGACTCTGTTTCTACAAAATAAAAAAAAATAAAATCATAAAACCTAGGCGAGTATAGTGGCATGTGACTGTAGACACAGCTACTTGGGAGGCTGAGGTAGTAGGATCGCCTGGGCCCAGGAGGTCCAGGCTGCAGTGAGCCATAATTCTGCCACTGCATTCCAGCCTGGGTGACAGAGTAAAACCCCATCTCAAATAAATAAATAAAATGTTCTTCAATCCTTTTTGCACTGATTGTTATTTTCTGGGAAATGAGGAACATATTGAGGATTGGGGGAAGACACTTGAGAATCTGTGTTCCAATAAAAGAGCACATTTTTTCAGAAGGTAACAGACTCACATTCCTAGATACACACACATAGACCCTGGCTTGCTAGGCATGCACATTCACAAGTGCACACACCCACAAATGCATGTGCACACACCTGTATACAAACAGGTGTGCATGCATACACTTCATCATCACCGCTACTGCTCCCTATCTCATCTCCCTGCCTTGCAGTACAAACGAAAAACCAAGGGATTAATCTTAGAGTTCGGAGGTTTGCATGTTACAATCAAGCTTCTTAGTCTAGCTGTTTGACAGACACTTACTGGCAGGCAATGACTTGCTATTTATTCACAGTATTGCCTTGGCCACAGTTTCTTTCATACCTACTATTCCCTTGCAAAGAAGTAAAATAACATGTAAAACCACTGCGTTGCACTTCGATGGATTCGGTTGTATCCTGAAAACCTTTACTGGCTGTCAGCCTCACCCAGGTCCTGAGAGCTCACGGCACTCGCAGGCTGGAAGGAGAAGTGCAAGGGATGGACAGTCGCAGAGTAGGGAGGTACGAGAAAGTCACAGAGCAAATGAGCTGCACTGTGGACTTTGGAAACACAGAATGCAGTCACCAGAGGGCAGGAGGAGCAGCAGGTAGGTGAGCAGAGGAGAGGGCAGAATTGGAAAGGGTGTCTTTCAGCAGAAGGAGCTGCAGCAGGTGAGGTCTCAGATCCAGAACAGCAAGTGCTTCTCCTCCGTAGCTGCTTGGTGGACTTACCTGAGGACCTTTAAAAATACTGCTGGCTGTGTCACACCTCAGAGATTCCCATCTGACTCTGCTTTTGGGCGGAGCCTGGGCTTTCTGGTTTTTTAAAGCACCACAGGAGATTATAACGTTCATCTGGGGTTGAGAACCACTACAATTAGATTATCTGAATGCTGTGCTTTAGAGAGCATTTTCAGAAATTTGCAGTAGAAGGATGAAAGCTCCCGCCGCCAAGTTTAGATACAGTAATAGAAGAGCACAGACCCATGTGGAAGTTTTAAATTACTTCTGATTCCACAACAAAGTCTGAGATAATATAAAGCTACAAGCAATAAAATAAAATAAAATAAACCATATCCCAGTGTTTCTCAAGGTGTGTTCCTGGGAGCCCTTTGCATCAGAAAGATGTGTGGTGGTTGCTAAAATTGCATATCCTTAGACCTCATTCAGACCTTCCCAGTCGGTATGCAGGGACAGGAAATTGGCAATTTTCACAAACATTCCAGGAGGCTTCTGCAGGAAAAGTTGGAGAAACTGCTATTTCCTCTCCAATCAGAACTGGCCCCTTACAGTCAGTGACGATGGTAGAGTTGAGTTATTTTCCAACCTCTACACTTCAGAGCGCAAGGACGTTGAAAACTAGACCTTTGGATGTAGTTCAGAAATAGACCAAAAAAAGAATTTTAAGTAAGGGTAGAAGTAGGTTGCTGAGACTATTTCTCACCTGTCTCCCTGAACTACATGCTACATTCCTAGCCTGGATTTTAGAATCATTCCCAGGACATTCTCAGCCATATCCCACTGCTGGGCCCTACGTCATCTTTAAAATCAAGGTTTTGGCTGGGCATGGTGGCTCACGCTTGTAATCCCAGCACTTTGGGAGGCCAAGGCGGGTGGATCGCAAGGTCAGGAGTGCAAGACTAGCCTAGCCAGCATAGTGAAACCTTGTCTCCCTGAAAACACAAAACATTAGCCAGGCATGGTGGCAGGAGCCTGTAGACCCAGCTACTTAGGAGACTGAAGCAGGAGAATCGCTTGAACTCAGGAGGTAAAGGTTGCAATAAGCTGAGATTGTGCCACTGCCCTCCAGCCTGGGTGACAGAGCAAGACTCTGTCTCAAAAAAAAAAAAAAGCAAGGTCTTGATAGACAGAAATGGAAGACGATCCTACTTGTCACCTTCATATGTTCAAAATACTCATTTCTTGGAAATTACAGATGATCTACTCCTTGTTTGCCCCAGATTCTATCACCTTGGAGGCAGTCCCTGCATTTCTTCTCACATTATTTCTGCAGGACCCAGCAGATTCCTGCCCCACACTAGGTGCCTAATGCATATTTGTTGAATGACTAAATGAATGAATGGAGAGTATCAGCAGGAAATTAATTTCCAAATTAGTGTTTCCCTAAATCTCACATACATATTTAGACTAATTTCTTCAGTTATCTCTTCAGAGATGAGCACTCATTTATTATGCACTAACCCAAATGATAATCCAAGGATTAATCAGCTGAAAAAAATAGTAGACCCACTTCAAATACTCTGATTTGAATTAGAAGAAGAGAACTTCATGGGCTTTGGATTAGGAAGACTAGGGTTCACTGTTCCCCCTTTTCCAATGTTGTACGGGGCTGTGTATTTACCTCTTCGAGCTTCTTTCTTTTTTGTATCTTACAGGATTGTTTTACAAAGTAAATGAATAATACAGATGCTTATTGACTTACATTTATACATGTATATTATGTGGACACACACACAAACACACACACATATACATACCCCTCATGCCCTTACAAATAAAATCCCTTATTCTTAAAGCATTTTTTCTTAACTGCTTACCTGAACATGGATTATATTTTCCAAAGTTCGACTGGCCTGATTCACATTTAGGGGTGACTGCTTTATATCAAGTCCTGCCCTAGATGGTTTCACTGATTATGTCTATGATCTCATGCCTTTTTCACAACTTTAGAGGTAGGCAGCTCCCCTATTTTATGGATGAGAAAAGTCAGGTTTCTCTCCCATCCCCTGTGCATGTCAGTGTGTGAAGTTAACATAGGCACTGTTTTAACCCAAGTCCATGTTCTCCATGCTTTCTCCTAGCTGCCTCAGTACAATCAACCAAGCTCAGAAGCATAGAACACCTCTCCAAAGCACATTTTCAAAAACACATGCTTTTCCTGATTAGATTTTTCAGTTACTTTGTTGACACGACAGTGGCTTTGCATGGTGAAATAGCTCATGAAAGTATGAAAGCAAGCCCACTAGCCAGGAGAGGACTGTCAAAGCATAGAGCCATTGGAGATCCTCACTCCCCACACCCACAAACCCGTAGCTTCTCCACCCTCCACCCCAGCCCTTGGCTGAGAATTCTCTCTGTGAATAAACTTCTTGGTGTGGCTTCTTATTCAGCTTCAAGGACTGTTTTGCAATAAAATAATAGACAACTTCACAGCCCCAGCTTTTCCTCCCTCTGCGCGCCCACTTCCAGGAGAGTGCATGGAGGAATCACGAGCCCTGGAAGTTTTTCAGGGAAGAAGAGCAAAGTTTTGTGTGAGTAGAAGATCAGCCATGTGTTAGAGGAGCCAGATTGTCTGAGAGAATTCTTACTGAGAAGGAAATACGAGATGTACTCAGGCGCTCTCCTTGTCATTCCTGTCTCACCTGCAGCCCTGCTCCATCTCCTAGGAGCAAAGGGGAACGGCCTCCACGGACAGCCTAAGGGAGGCTGTACTACAAGCTAGTGGCTTAAGGACTGCCAGCTTTGCTTTTCACAAGCTAGTGGCTTAAGGACTGCCAGCTTTGCTTTTCCAGTGTGCTTCAAGTCCCTTGCAGCCTAGCCTAGCTGCTGCCCTTTCTCTGGAGAGGAAAGCTGGCAGATGACATTGGAAGTGATTTGTTCTCACTAGCTGGGCCTATAGGTGTGTGATTATTTGCAACCCAAATGCTTAGGGCATAATGCTAGGTTGAGAGCAGGGGCGCATTCCAGGCATTATCTTTTCAACCTAGTAGAGGTTGCAGGCACAAGCTCCAAGCAACTGTCCTATTGATGCATCGGGGAAGTTAGCTGTTAAAAGCGATAACAAAACCTCGGACACTGTCATTATAGACAGTATGGAGGAAAGCATCTGTATCATCTGCCTGCTCTTTTTCGAAGAACCGGCGAGTCCTTCTGGGTAACATAACCTCATGTCAGTAGGTAAAGAAATAAGGCATTCGTGTATCTTTGTTCAGTTTTCAAGTGGAGCAAACAATTTTCCCAAGTACATGCCAGAAGGAACTGTGTTAGATATAGAGTCTCTAAGCCTATAGGGCAACTGCTTGGATTGCGAGATATAACGTATTTCCTCCTGTGGGCTGTTAGAGTTAGGATATTAGTCTGTGTCTCCTGATAAATCCTGGATAGAGCTATTTTATGTGACCACTGTTACCAGAATGGTTTCAGCGAGAGACCAGTTGGGAGAAAGAAAAGAAAATATTGATATTGGGCAGTTTTATGAATGTAAATCAAATCCAAAGTTTGAGATCCAAAAGAAGTAAATTATTTATGGCATGATTTAACTTTGGTACCTTGTTCCTGATTCAACCTGCATGAATAGTTCAATTCTTCTGTTTTGTTTTGTTTTGTTTGCCAGCAATAAAATAGATGATATGTAGTTTGACTTTGAATTCTTAGTTACTTATGAATTGGAATGAATGCTGGAAAACTGACGTTCACTATTATGCTATTGGTCAATTTGCTTGGGTTGGATAACATTTATCACTGTTGTGGTCACAAACAAATAAAGTGATAAAGGAACATGGGGTCTCAGTTAATGAAAGTATAGTTTACTTTGGTCTATGGTAGTTCCGTAAGTTGTGCTTCACTGAAAAAAAATCAAAAATACCTAAGAATACGTTTTCTTTAAAATCATCGTTTCAATGAACAGCCTTTCTTTTTACTTAATGTCTGCAATGTAACTTTGAAAAGACTTTTTCTGATGGGGAAAAAAATCCTTCTTGTGCATATAATTTAACGAATCAATTACAGATAATCTGATTTTAGTCATTTCCTGCTAGTGGTGTGATTGCTTTCTAACCAAAAGTTGACGACAGCCTGTGTTTTAATTTTCGATGAGACTTACTGGTAGCCAGCTGTCATGAAGGATGTACTATTTGTCAATATTGAGCCAAAAAACAATTAAGCTCCATGAAAACATTCTTACCATAATCTGTTCCCCTATACTAGATAGAGAAAGAAGCACAAATAGTTGAGCATCACCAAAAATAAATGTGTTACCAAGAGAGAAATAACACGAAAGTGTCCCTCAGTCTCCAGTTGAATGTAAGAATTACCATGATGATTAGATGTTTGTCACACTGTGTTATAATTGTATTTTTGCCAACTTGCTGCCAGGTGTGAGTCTTTGAAGTCAAGGACCATGGCCCAATCAGCTAGCTTTGCAAGTAGATACTCAGAAAATTTATATTGGATAAGTGAAGGAAGAAACGAATGAAACAGAGTGCCTTATATCTAGGATATTTAAGTATTTGGATTTAGTCTTTCATGCTGTCAATTTCAGTTATCACATCAAATGTTTACAGTTTATGTATTAGCTGAAACGTACCACCCACTTCACCTGTCCACCTTAATTTTATCAACGGTAACCATGTAGCTACATAGCTTCAAGGTAATAGCGAAGTTTAGTAGGTGATTCTATGCAAAGTATTTTGAAATATGCAGATGAAAAAGAAATCTTAGCACAAATACATACAGTAATAATGAATGGTTACCTGGAGAAAATGCCAGATACTTGAAACACCAGGAACATGTTACTGGTTTTACCTGTGGTCCTTAGCTGGAATTGTGTTATATGCCCGCTCCTAAACCAGTCACTGGAATTGCTAATATTGGCTTCGATTAATCAAGATTCACTGCCTTGGGCTGAGGAGGGATTTAGGTTCTTCTGCTGTCCCAAGCTGCCTGATACTTGAAGAAAATGAGGTCCCCGAAAATATTACTAAGAATTATGTTTGGTTGTTTACTGGAAGAAACTCAAAATAACAGTGACTACCTTATTTCCCTCACATCAATGTTCAATAGACAGTACAGCTCCATAGCATCCTCAGGACCAAGCTTGTCCTTTTCTCTGTCCAAATATCCTTAATATGTGACTGTTTTTGTCAGGGTAACTGCTGAAGTTCCAGCCATTGCTGTACTTCCATTCCTAGTCAGGAAGATGATGAAGGGTGAGCCCCCTTCTTCTTTGAGACTTCCTGTAAGCCCAAGAGAATAGTCTGCTTACGTCTTATTGGCCAGAATTTTGTCACATGGTAACATTTCACTACAGGAGTAGCTGGGAAATGCAGTTGAATGTGCCCAGCCCCAGAGGATTGGGTTTGTTCCTCAGGAAAAAGGAAAAAAATGGATGTTGCAGTAAACAACTACTAGATTTTATTACAGGTAGCAACAAGAAGAGGGTGACATAAGCGAAAACATTGAAGATGAAAGCAGGACATAGAGGAAACAACGAGTTGTCCCTATTGTTGACCATTCAACCTATCTCTATTGCAAGTAATATGAAGCAGTGAAATAGACAGCAAAGGATTAGGAAGGAGAGGCAAGGGACATTGTAAATCAGTGAAGTGTAGAAACTGTGTACAGATAATTAGGACTGTGTTTGGCACTATATCATTTTTTAGCCTTCTTGGAGTATATGAAAGGATATCATTTTTCCAAATATGGAAATGTGAAAGTCAAGGTATGAATGATCTTTTAAGTGTAACCATCTTAATTAGCAACAGGTCACCTTTGGAGAAAGCAAAATATTACCTAGAAGGATAGGCTTATTATGAAAAGAATCAGATCTCTGGATGTAGAGGAAAGAGGCAAATAAGGAGCTAATTAGCTCCAATAAGCTGCGAGAAACGTAATGGTAAATTAGAGTCAGTGCCTATAAAGTCTCATTATTATAAATGACAACTTTTTCTTTATTTTTTAAAGGTAGCCAACCAAGTTGTTCAAGCTCTGCTTACTCAAAAGGTAGGTCACTTTCTGGCTTTGTTCTTTTCAAGGCACTTATGTGACTATATTGGAACTCATGTTGTTAAGCTAGGAAATTGTGATTGATAGATGCAATACTTTTGTATTTATTCGCTTAGTGAAAATCTTGTGTGTTTTAGATAGCTTACGAAGTATCATCAGTGACCAGTAGAATTTGTATAAAAAATCCAAACTCTCGGTAAAATAATAGAAAGCCTTTTGAAGATGATTTTCATGTACCCAGATGAGTAGCAAACCCATCATTTTTATTTAGTAAATACAAACTTTCAGTAAGTTGGTGCATTCTCCCAATTCCTATAAAATGAGTATCTTCTTTTGGACAGCATTAACGCAAGTCTAAAATTCAGCAAGAGATCTTTGAAGTTAGGGAAGTCATTTAATTTCCCTGAGCCCTAGTTCCTCTTCTATAATGTGGGAATAACAGTTCCCACCTCCTGGGACTGCTGTGGCTACCCTACCAAAAGAAGCAGGTGGAACAGTTACTGCAGTAGTTTGTGGTACATATAAAATAATGGTAACCACTGTACCTGAAATTTCCATACCTATGTGTTTGCTGCCTTGCCATTCTTCCTTCAGACAATATCAGATCACATTATCTAGGCACAGACAGTAAATGCAGGTCAATTTTGCCCAAATTTGGCTGTTTCAGTGAATTTTATAGAATGTTTTCCATCTCTGGCCATGATGCTTCTGAGAAGCTAAATTTTAGTTCCCTCAGATTTTGTTTACTTTGATTTCTGTCTGTGAAATAGAGACTTCTCCCAAAGAAACTTTTAGATCCTACAGCGTATATTCAGGATGATGTGACAAATGGCAGCAAAATAATTTATGCCATTTTGTTTTTTTAATTGAAAATAATTGTATTAGGGGTTGACTGCTTCTCATGGAGATATTTAAATATTCTTTAAAATTTATATGAAACAGGCATTGTGAAACTTTTGCTAGACTTTCTTGCCTACTATTTCTGTCAAAATGTCATGGTTCCTTCTAAAAATAATTTTAACTGCTTCCAGTTTTACACTAACATGCCTAAATAAAGAGATTTGAGTACCACTTACGTAGAGTTAAAATTAGGCTCCATTGTGAGAGATCCATAATGAGGTGGCTTAAATAAGCTAAAATGTTAATTCTTTCTCACGTACAAACCGACAGGTAGGCAGAACTGGGATGGTAGCTCTGCTCCATAAAGTCCACGGGGTCCCTAGCTTCCATCTCTGTATTTCATGGAATGTGGCCCCATTTTCAAGGTCACTTCATGGTCCAAAAGGACTATGCTAGCTCCAGTCATCACATCCACACATTCTAGACATCAGGAAGGGAAAAAAAAGCTGAGGAATATGAAGAAGATAAAGGGCATACAGCAGCTGTCTTTTAAAGGACACCTCCAAAAGCTTTCATACGTTACTTACATACATCTCCTTGAACAGACCTTACTCACACAGCCACACCTAACAAACCTGGCAAAGAAGTCTTTGTTCTGGGTGTGTGCCCGGCTGAAATTACTTTGGAAGAAGGTGAGAAATAGATATTGGAGGACAAATTGTAATTGCTGCTGCAACATTTTTGAATGCTTTTTCTTTTTCTAAGGCTTTAATTTCTCCATTGTTTGTCTCCTGCTTGAAACTCTATGATGACTTAGTTACAAACCTAAGGAATGGGGGAGTACTATTGCAGCCCTGTGTACAACTGTTGAAAGACTTCTCATGCCTGCTTTTGTTAATGGCGCCTCAGGAAAGAGACAAGGAAGCCGTCTGGTACGATAAAAAGAAAAAGGGGCCCTTCAGGTCAGCTACAAAAAAAAAAAAAAAAATAGCTACACAAATCCAAGTAATAACTAGTAAACAGATAAATCTACCTTGGTACAGTTAAGCAGTGAGACACAGAAAGACGTGCTACTGTGAGATAGCATACCTCAGGGACACTATGAGGCAGAAAGAGATGCTGGGGGCTTTTGGAGATTCCAAAAGAATCATGTTCTGCAGAAATGTGTGCCTCCAGATTTTATGGGAACTGTAAAATTGCTGCAAAAAGACTAAAATTTCTTTTTAATTAAGAGCGCAATATAAAATATACAATGCACTCCAAATGCAGATGAGAAAACTAATTCCAAAAAGGAATGTAGGTCACAAAGATGAAACAGAAAAAAATCTTGAGTGATTTATCCAAGTCACCAGAAGATCCTTGAGGTGAAATAATAGGCATTACTGTGCAGTTTTAGAATATGTTATTAGTTATGACACAAAGGCAAATCTGCTGTGGCTTCAGCTCTTCACTGGGCAGCCAGAAATACATTTTTCGTGGCATATCATGAATTGGCCCAGACAAGCATCCTGAAGTAACAGAGTCTATTGATACTGATAGAAAAAAAAATTATTTCCATTAACTTATCAGTTTCTGTTCAGTGTACCTAGTCAAGTAATTCAGTTTATCTCAAAAACCTGTAGATTCCCTTAAGCGAATGGACTGTATCCCTTTAGAACAATAATACAAAAGTGATCATATTAAACCGAACTTTCTTCCTTTGATGCCTCCAAATCATGGGTCCAAGTCCAGAAGTGTGAGTGAAATTAATACTTCAGGTTAAACTCATATTGTTATCTGAAATGTTTTTTATCTTCATTAAGTCAATTACACTTGGAGAAAATGTAACTCGCCTAGGTTCTTCAGTGTTTGGAGTTTGTTCTTTGTTTGTTTGTTTTTGTTTTTGCCACTAAGCAAAACACAGAAGAAAGGCATTTTCTCTGCAATTATTTTCATTCATATCAACAGTCTCAGGCTTATCTGCATGTTCTTTGGAGGAACCACATATTTCGATGGTGTGTTTTCTTCACTGACATGGAATAAAGCTGGGTATGGTAGAATCCAGCCATTCAGGCAGACCCAGAAAACAATTTTATAGCATGTAGCTGAGAAAACTCCAAATTCCTGCCTATTTCCCTTGTAAAGGTGCAATTGAACCATCTGTGTCCACTTCTCCAGCAGTGGTCTGTGTGGTATCAGGTGGCTGCTGATATTTAGCAGGCATTTACAAGCCTTCAGACTCCACGTGCAGCACTTTTTTTTATATATACTTTAAGTTCTAGGGTACATGTGCACAACGTGCAGGTTTGTTACGTATGTATACATGTGCCATGATGGTGTGCTGCTCCTATTAACTCGTCATTTACATTAGGTATATCTCCTAATGCTATCCCTCCCCCTAGTTCAACCATTGTGGAAAACAGTGTAGCGATTCCTCAAGGATCTAGAACTAGAAATACCATTTGACCCAGCAATCCCACTACTGGGGATATACCCAAAGGATTATAAGTCATGCTGCTATAAAGACACATGCACACATATATTTATTGCGGCACTATTCACAATAGCAAAGACTTGGAACCAACCCAAATGTCCATCAGTGACAGACTGGGTTAAGAAAATGTGGCACATACACACCATGGAATACTATGCAGCCATGAAAAAGGATGACTTCGTGTCCTTTGTAGGGACATGGATGCAGCTGGAAACCATCATTCTCAGCAACCTATCACAAGGACAGAAAACCAAAAACGTGTAGCACTTTAAATGCACCAAGTCATTTTGATCTCAAGGCAGCCCAGTGAGGTAGGACTAAAAAAAATAGTTTGCTCATAGTTTCAACTGTTGGGCAGTGGCAAAGCCCCTGCTTTAATTATGGCTGTTGCACTGTAAACCCCACGCTCTGACCCACTCCTTCATTCTTCCTCCACAATCCCATTCAGTCACTTGTTTTTCTCCACCGTAGTTCAGTAGGACAGAGAGAGATGCCATGAAAATCAACAGATGGGTTGAAATCAACCGTCAGTTATGATCACAGGGAATAAAATAAAAGGCAGGGTAGCCGCAGGACTTTTTAAAACTTCTGGAAGTATTGCTGATCTTCTGTAGCAGGAAGAGCATTTAGAGTTTGGTATCTGTGGAGTGAAACCGACTCTGTATATTTGGGGTCAGGCTTTCTCAAAATCAATCTTATTTTTAACTCCCCAATTCCCCAATTTCTAGGAGCCTTGGTGAGTATTTAATCCTGAGATCGTCAACGAGCTTTGGTAATGGGCTCTACTGGCTGTAGTTATATGAACTGTTTAGCCATTGCCCTTATTAAAAGTGCTTTAATCTGAAGGCTTTTAGGGTAGAGATTTGCAGTATGTATTTTGTCACAGGACTCACTACTTCCTGTGCTGTATCCCAGTTCAGTCAGACTTTTATGTCACCTGTCTTGCCTTTTAGGCATTCGATGTTGAAGCCCTGAGTCTGTCTGAGATGTGACCAGCCTTTTCCAGAAGTGGGTTTTCATTTTACAAAAGCCTTAGCATTTGGGGCAGAGAGGGATATATCATTGAAAGCCACCAAGAAGGGGTGTGACAAAAGAGGCTGGTGGTTTTAGTGGCCATTAGGCTTCAGGGAGGGAACAAAGTGGCACTCAAAAAGCCATCCCATGAAGCTAATGAGAGATACAGTCTTTTGAACAAAAGCCCAGTTTTGTGCAGTGCCTTGGATTACAGATGAGGAAACTGAGACCTGCTCAGAAGCAATCACTTCTTCAAGGTCCTGTGGACAATGAGGACTAGAGCCCAGGTCCACTAAGCCCCAATTCCATGTATTCCCAAGATAGACACTGCCTCTGAAATAGGTATACCACTGTCGTGTCATTTTTACATGATAAAATCAGATTTAAATAGTTTTCAATGACACTCCAGTGATCATGTTAGTATATGTCCTGCTTCTAAGCAATCAGCATTTTTAAAAATGTACTTTGGCCTAGAGCTGGTCAGGATTTTACTTTTCAATACGTGAAGTAACTGTACTCCTATAGGTACTGTATAGCAGTGAGTCCAGAATCATCTTTAGCCCAAGCACAGGGGGAATTTATCAGGATTACAGGGTGTGGATCCTCCAGGGAAATTATGGTTTGGGATCATTAAGATGCAGAGATGCCCGTTAGACCAGTGTATCACATTGCTCAGCTGTAACCTTTTAAGTCTCTATTTCCAATTGATAGTGACATGAATAGTGCAAGGAAAATGGGTCTGAGTATTTTCTTGAACCCAAACACCATTGTACTTTTTTTTTTTCGTGATGTGAAATATAGTCAAATCTTTGGCATTATTCCTCCATGATAAATATTTATGTTGTGTCCCCATTTTCTTATCTGAAGATACAACCTTATATTTTCAGTGAGGTTCTTTCTTTTCTTGAGACCTGATACCTGCCAGGAAGTCATAGAAAAAAAAGAAGGGTTGTGAGAGAGGATACATGGTACAGCCTCTCCCTTGAGCCGCGATCCCAGACCCTGGCACTTACCCAGAGGAGAGTTCTTTCGTTTCTAAAGCCTTCCTTGGGGAGGCTGTTCTAGGTCTTGCCTCTGAACTGACAGGGTCAGAGTCGCGGCTCTTGCATCCAGCCTAAATGTATCATGCAGTCATGCATTCCTTTCTGTCACGGTGTTCCTGCTGGGAGCACAGAGGAAGCTAAGACAGCCAGCTGCCCCCTCCACCCAGGTACTATAATAGTGGTCAGCGAAACAGTTGTTTCTCTATGTATAACCATTCTGGTTGTGTTTATGCGTGTGTACATGGGCACACGAGTGTATTTGTTTACAGTTTATTGGGAAGGCAACTGTCTGGCATCAGTTACTGGTGATCCACAGCTTGTCTGAAGAAAGTAAGAGTATTAAAAACAATGCAAGCGATTCTTTTTTTCGTGATGTGAAATATAGTCAAATCTTTGGCATTATTCCTCCATGATAAATATTTATGTTGTGTCCCCATTTTCTTATCTGAAGATACAACCTTATATTTTCAGTGAGGTTCTTTCTTTTCTTGAGACCTGATACCTGCCAGGAAGTCATAGAAAAAAAAGAAGGGTTGTGAGAGAGGATACATGGTACAGCCTCTCCCTTGAGCCGCGATCCCAGACCCTGGCACTTACCCAGAGGAGAGTTCTTTCGTTTCTAAAGCCTTCCTCCAGATTTTCAGACCAGCTCATTTCTGTTTGTCGATGGCCATCAGGTCAGTGTCACATCCCTAAAGCCTCTGTCTTACCCCACTGCTGTGTGCTGAGCTGGATGTGCCAACAGTGATGAACAGAGAGTTCCCAGGGTCGATAAATTGTGTTCCCACTAATGAACTTTGCTATACCTTAAGTGATAGTAATGGCCTTTGAAATTTGGGCAGTTGTATAATGACTCTCTATAAAGTACATTGATTTTTTTTTCTTTCATTCTTTCTTTTTATTTCATTTTTACCCATCTGAAGAACTCTTTCAAGGTCTTCTCAGTTTTGCTGCTAAAAATCGTGGTTACTGTTGCCTTCAGGTCCCCTTTTACTTGCATATCCACACTGTACGCTTCCGTTTCCATATCTCTACGTTGCAAATGAGGATGATTGTGTTTTCCCATCCAATAGGTACTATTACTATTTATCTGCCTCACAGTCAAGTTTTATTAATTACTTAATGAGTGGTACTAAAAACAATTAGTGTTTGGGAGCAGAGAGTGTTACATACATGTTAAGAACAAAAATTGTGAGACACAGAGGTTGAATTCTAAATAAAGAAAGCAAGTTTCACCAGTCGTAGTGGTTCACGCCTGTAATCCCAGCACTTTGGGAGGCCAGGGTGGGCAGATCACGAGGTCAGGAGTTCAAGACCAGCCTGGCCAATGTGGTGAAACCCTGTCTCTACTAAAAATACAAAAATTAGCTGGGTGTAGTAGCACATGCCTGTAGTCCCTCCTACTCAGGAGGCTGAGGCAGAAGAATCGCCCAAACCAGGGAAGCAGGGGTTGCAGTGGGCTAAGATTGCGGCACTGCCCTCCAGCCTGTACAACAAGAGTGAAACTCTGTCTCAAAATAAAATAAATAAAAATAAAGTAAGTTTCATCTTTTTTTTTTTTTTTTTTTTTGAGACTGGGTTTTTTTGAGACTTTGTTGCCCAAGCATTCAGCTGGGCGATCTCGGCTCACTGCAATCTTTGCCTCCCGGGTTCAAGTGATTCTTGTGCATCAGCCTCCCGAGTAGCTGGGACTACAGGCGTGCACACTTGGCTAATTTTTATATTTTTAGTGAAGATGGAGTTTTGCCATGCTGGCCAGGCTAAAGTTTCACCTTTTAATTTGAGCAGTGAGTGGGTCCCCACAATGGCCTCTGCCAAATGGTGTGTGTGCTCGGGAGTATGAAATGTGCACTCTTGATCCTGCCCTGCTGGATCTTGCACTCTTGCATGTCATTCTGAACATGTCATTTCTTTTCTCTGCTCTCCATTTGTGGGCACTGATCAGTTGAAAACACCCTATACATAAGCTTTACCCATTTAACTAAAAAAGGCCAGGAGAGTTGAAACTGCAGTGGGCTATACCTTGGCCTGTTTCTTTGACACCTTTAAATAGGATAAATACTACTGTATAAGATGATGCATGCTCATGAAGCCTCAGAGGCGGCTTTACTAGCGAGCTCTAACTTCACCATTAGATTAATACAAGCTTATGGCAGGCCCAGGTACCTCTGTGACTCCTATTTAGGCCCTGGACATCAGAACTGTGACCTGGGCTCTCCCTTGCTTACAGAGCCTTAAGTCCAATAGCTACCTGCCCACATCAGAATACATAAGTCTTTGAAATAGAAGTGTTGAGAAATGCTCTGTATCACACCGATCACTAGAGAATAGAATTTGCAATCATCATCCCGTTTGGCAAAATAATTGCGAGCACTTATTAAGCTCCTACTATATGTGGCATCGTGCTAGGTGATGGAATGAAAACAATGTAAGAGCAATATGCTGGTGTGGTTATTTCAGTATCTTCTTGTGCTCGCCTGGTGAAAAACGCGTCGTGTAATTGACAAGTCTAGAGCACAAACGATGAAATGAATACTGAGTAATATATGATAACCGTCACAAAGGAGGCATTGAGGTCTGATGGGAGTTCAGAAAACGGAGCAGGTATTGAGGGATGCCAGGTAAAAGGTCAGAAAGGTGACAAAGTTTGAACTGGACTTCAGTCAAAGAGCCAAATGTGGACCGAAAGAAGAAGGTGGATAAGAAGGAAAAGTGGTAGTGGAAGGAAAAGAGAAGAGGGTAGAAGGAATGCATAGAGCTTTAGAGAACAACATGCCAGACCTTTGTTCTCTGCTTGGTGAGAACAGAAGACTTTTTTTTTTTTAACATCAGGAAGTAGTTGAAAGATAGCTTGAAATGCAGAAAAGGGTCAGCTTTTGAAGAGCATTGAATTTGGGTTTTATTCTACTGGGTCTGCCTTGAATTCCATCCAAAAGGGCATAGATATTTAAGTACCAGAAGTTCCTTTATTGCAGTCAGTTTGGAAGGCACTTCTTGTACATCACCTTCCTCCATGAGCTGGGGAAAAGGTCTCTGGTGTTTGAACTATTCAAAAGAGCTGCTCCAAACAGATGCCAGAATGGGCTAAGTAGTGTGCGTCTCCCCCAGCACTGAGACCAGAAAGCCCCAGAAGATATGGAAATCCACGAGTTCAGAGGATGGGCAAGTTGCAAGTGGCCTTTTAAAAGCCTTCTCTTCCGTGTTATTTCTCTTCCGCTAAATGCATCACTGACTCTATTAGCCCCAGTGCCGAGAATTTCAACTTGTTTTCACAAATGACAACAAAAAACTCCATCAGAAATGATAGTTTCTTTAGCTCATCAAATCTCTATTCACTGCAGAAACGTTGTTGTCCTTGTGGCTTGTGATCTATGATTGCTTTTGTAAAGACAATGAAAAGGCAAAATATATAGGTGGAAACTTAAATTGACTTTATATCGCTAAGATTTACTGTCTTCAAAAATAGCATGCTAGATTAATGCATTTCTGATTTCAAGGTGCTTTGTTTTAAAAAAAACTGGTCTTTGCACATAATAATTCTATCAGACCAATGGTCTGTGGAAGAAAACGTTGTATGTGATTTACTTCTGGGGGCTTTGAAGAATGAAAATACTGTTTTTTACTAATGATCTGAGATATATAAAACATGGTTATAATATGCAAAGACATCTTTCAGTTATGGACTTTTTCTCCTTCGATGTGTTTGTTGTAGGATCTAAGAGAGGAATGTGTGAAGTTGAAAACAAGAGTGTTTGATTTGGAACAGCAGAATCGAACACTAAGCATCCTATTCCACCAGCGAGTCAGACCCACTTCTGATCTGCTCCTCCAGGTATGTGTTTATCTGGAAAACAATCTTTGCTACTGAAATGCTATTGACAGAAAGTTACTTAAGTTGGGAAGTTAGCAACATCTTCATGAACAAGGCATATTGCATCAGAATCCCCGTTCTTTCTTCTCTCAAGATATGTCATTAAATTTGAATGTGTCTTAAGTTCTTGACTTTCTAAAGCTACAGGCAGATAAGGAAATGCACTAACAAATAATAAACAGGCAAAAGAGACAATCAGAAAATGTCCTGTAGTAAACTAAATGGAACCATAGAAAGAAGTTAGGAAATTGATTGTTTTAGGAACCAGCATTAGTAATCTTGCATATGTGATAAGCAAGGAAGAATTTTATGTAATGCCAAAGCACATTTTTTTAAATTTCAAACTCTTTATAATCAGAAATACATGTGGGGGTTGTTTTTCTTTCATATCTCTCTACGCGGAGTTCCTTCTTATAACAGAACGCCTCCTGTTTCTATCTCAGTATTTTTACAGGTTGTCTTTTTCTAAATGCTCTCACTGAACTATTTTTTTTTACTTGCCTTCATAACATGGAAAGCTGTGGAAAGTCAAGCCATTTGAATCGATTTGAAGCTGGTCCTGACAAAGCACTAGAGAATATGTGCCCCTGCAGGGAAAACACATGAATGGGGAGAGGGGTCTGCAGGGCTGGCCTTTGCTGTTTCCGATGTTTGTGATCCTATTAATGTGTATATTTGCTCAAACAAGCTCCCATGAGCTTTGCCCCAAGCCCGTCTGAGGCCAAGCTGTCAAAGGCTGCATCGAGGTTTCACAGGGGCAGTGTGCAACATACAAAGGGCAGCCCACCACTGCATGGTCTAATTGGCTGAGAGGAAGGTCATTCTCCAGCCTCTGGTCATCTGGACGATACTGTCCAGCATTATAACCACTAGCCATGTAGGGCTATTTAAATTTTAATTTTAAAAATTTAAATTAAATTAAAATTAAGTTCCTATGTCCAACGAGCCACACTTCTAGTCATCAAAAGCCACATGTGGCCAGGGGACTACCTTAGCGAACCGCGCACGTGGAGAACATTTCCCTCATTGTGGAAAGCTCTGCTGGACGGTATTTTTCCAAATGATCCAGATTGTGTTGCTAATTTACTCTGAATTTTGGCATAAAAACCTTAGGACTCCTCAGAGAAATAATGGGAAATTGTAATTCATTTCAGAGAAAGAAAGATGTTTGGTAAGCTGAACATCAAAATGTAATTTGCCCCCCAAATTAAAGTAAAACAGCTCTCTGAATTATAAAATAAATCTCATCTCCTAAATTAATTTCCTCTCTGCCTTACATGTTTGAACATAATTCATAATTTATGACTCAAAAATTGTGTGGGGCGGGAGGGAAGTCATCTATCTCTATTCTGTTTTCTGTTCCTGACCACCATAAATATTTGTCATAGGGGATCTTGCATTTATAAAAAGCTGTGTTTCTTTCATAATCTCATCATCAAGATTCAATATTAGAACTACTTTTTTTTTTTTTTTTTGAGATGGAGTCTTGCTCTGTCTCCCAGGCTGGGGGGAGTGCGGTGGCGCGATCTTGGCTCACTGCAAACTCCGCTCCTGGGTTCACGCCATTCTCCTGCCTTAGCCTCCCGGGTAGCTGGGACTACAGGCACCTGCCACCACGCCCGGCTGATTTTTTTTTTTTTTTTTTTTTTTGTATTTTTAGTAGAGAAGGGGTTTCACCATATTAGCCAGGATAGTGTCCATCACCTGACCTTGTGATTCACCCATCTCAACCTCCCAAAGTGCTGGGATTACATGCATGAGTCACTGCGCCCGGCCCTCTAGAATGACTTTTAAAAACTGTTGCATGTTCCTGATTTTTTTCTGTTCTGCATGTTGTAACTTGAGGCTTTTCTGAAGTAGTGTTTAAGACTCTGCCGTCCCTGTTTATGAATTGTGATCATTTATTTGCACGGTAAACACACGTGCTATGGATATATAAGCATTTTCATTGGCTGTCACAAATTTCTTAAATTCATACCCAAAGATCAGGGGATGATATATATGCTAACAATAAAAATGAGTGTTTATTCATTTGGTGTTTTCAGCCAACACACTTCATATTTCTCCCAAATAGTACTGCCTTCCAGGAGCCATTCTAATTTAAATATTTATAAAAGATGGACTGTTAATAATTCTGTGAAGAATAATGATATAAAGTGTGATACCTGCCCTCTTAACATCTTGGAGCTCATAATCCAAGACAGAGTACATGACTGGCTTTTCAGATGGTGTGTTAATTATTTCACTCGTGGCTTTTCATTTTCTGTTAGTACTTTATGGTTCAATTGATAAACAAAATATATACAATGGAGCTAAAATACAATCATTCCAAACTTGCTTTACACCTATGGATACTCAGTCATTGTGTGTTGAGTGGAATAATGAACAATAATAATTCGTTGTTCTGGAGAGTTATTTCACATAAACCTAAGAGAGGTCTATGCTCCCACCTCTTCTTTTGAAGCTTTCCTGTCTTACATGAATGTCAAGGCACTATGCAGTCATGTGTTTCAGCCCAGTATGTCTGAGGATGTGGTGGGTGGGGGCAGCAAATCCACCAGTGTGCCCCTGGTCCCAAATATTATAGACCCTATAGCTGCTGCCCATGGTCTGTGGATTCATTATGGCAGATTTCTAAGTAGTTTTTAGCACTTCTTAGAAGGCTGCATTAGTTATTATTTGTTGAATACAGCCTAATGATTCTCTACATTCCAAAGTTGCTACCTGAAGAGAAATACAGAAAGAAGAGTTAGGAACACATTGTGATTTAGGTAGACAAATTATAAATAGTATAAAGGAAAATAATATATAAGAAACAGACAATTCTTTGTCCCTTAAAAATACAGAATAAGAGGTTACATGGATATCATTTAGCAAATTCTTATGTGGGAGAAACGGAAAGGAAGCGCTCTGGGGATTAGTTGACAGATTCTGGTAAACTTACAAAGGGAGCCAGGTCCCTGAGGGAAATAAGAAAGGCCTAAGCTGAAATTAAAATCTTAAGAATGACAACAAACTTCTCTTTGATTTTGGTTTCTAGAATGATATCTCTGGGACTATGAGTGGCAATAAATCAGATTAAGAAGACCCCCCCCTCCATAGTAAAATCAACATTGGAAGTAAATTTCAAGGAATTGAGATGGCAGGATAGCAAACAAAATCCAAAAGTAATGTTCTTACAGAGACTGGAATCTCTTAACTAAGCTCATTTGAAGCTGCTTGTCCAGATTCACTGATGCTCACCATTCTCCCTTTTAAATCACACTGAACAATACCCTCAACTTAATGAATGTTGGCAACTGGTAAAGAGCTCTCTACCATGTGCACTTATTTCTCTTACCAGTGGAGCTGAATACTTGCCAAGAATGAGTTATTTTTGTTACTCAGTAGGTCTACTAAAGTAGTATTTGTGATCAAATTAAATATAGGTGTCTATAAAAATAAATTGTGGGAGACCAGAAATTGTATTAAATGTGGAACAGTTCTGCTGCAAACTGCTCAAGTGGTTTTAAGTTCATGTACCATTGTTTAGGAAAACAAAAGTTAGGAATCATAGGCAATGTATAAAGTGTGTGTTGCCAAATTTTTTAAAAAAGATAATGGAAGATTTCAACAAAAAGATCTCTAAGCAAAGAAGCAGCCTTGGCCATACCGAAAATGTCATATACCAAATGTATAGTAGTGCTTACCATGTGTCAGACTCTATTCTACAACCTTTACAGCACTCACCAATTTCATCTGTATCACAGTCCCGTGGGTAGGACCTATCATTGCACCTGTTTTACAAATGGGAATACTTTGGCATAGACAGGCTAAGTCCTGTAGCAGGTATTTGACAGACCAAGGATTTAAACCTGAAAATCCAGTGAAATTAAGTGCCCCCTTTCACCTCCAATTGGTGCTCCCTCTGCGTGGAACATGAATGAATAAGAGGACAAATTTTCTGATTCCCTGCTGTAGGTGACATTTGAATTAACTGGTCCACCTGGGATTGAGTCAGATCAGAGGGCTTCGGGAGTACAATCCCAATAAGGAGCCTGACATCTTTACACATTTCTGAAATGTGGCATCTAAGATTTTCCCCTCCCTATGTGTTCTTTTATTTGTTTTGGATGCCTGTGTAATCATTATTCTGACAGGACATTATTCTCGTAGTTTTAGCCTAAGACAATGTTTTCTTTTCTTTTTCATCTGATATTTCAAAAAGTTCTACTACTGATATCCTTAGGCCAAGTTAGGAAGAAAAGAATTTTATAGGGTAGATTATTCACGTCAACAGTGGAGGATCTGACAGCTTAGAACCAAGGTGCAAAAATTTGCTGTTACTTCTTAGAATGCGAACTTTTTGCTTTTGCTAGCGTTTTATACTATTATTTCCAATAAGATGAGAGGGCTTTTACATTCTACTTGTTCCTCTTTTCTTTTTCTCTCTCTTAATTTTCAGTGTAAATCTATCCGTGAGTCTGATCTGGCAAGACACTGCACACTTTGCTCTCCACCTGTCCACAAGCCAAGCATCCCACTGGGAAATCCAGCCAAGGGCCACCCCAGCAAGGGGCCAGCCAGGGCCTTGGCAGTCCTCAGTGAACTTTCCCCATACTGGAGTTCATGTAGTATCGGTGGTCTATGCCACAGTTAAGGGTCTTGTGTGGAATTGTAGAATCCTAGCCTCCATGAGTGGGGGTCATCCAGTGCAACCCACGTAATTAGAGATTTCTTGATAACTTTTAATTTTAAGTCAGCAGCAATCTCTTTGAGGATAAGAGCTTTTACTTTTTACCCCTTTACATATACTATCCCTCTTTATAATACGTATTCAGTGCATTACATATACTATCCCTCTTTATAATACGTATTCAGTGCATTACATATACTATCCCTGTTTATAATACGTATTCAGTGCATTACATATACTATCCCTGTTTATAATACATATTCAGTGCATTACGTATACTATCCCT